CTTTATGAAATCAGCCAACTCGGGGCTATTCCTGATTTCATTCCGGATCTGGTGCTCCCAGACAGCGGCGACGGCTATCCCCGTGCTTTCAATGAGCCGCTGCCTCTCCTTGGTCTTATAATACATCTATAAAGCGTTGATTTTAGGCAATGGGAATAATACTTACCTCTTCCATGGTGTGTTTCCCCTCAAGCGGGGCTTTGGCCGTGGGATTGGTGCAGTCCGGGCACCCATGGAAGATACATCCATTAATCTAAATTTATCAAGGTTTCACTTTAATTTTTTATTATCATACCTCATAAGCTCTGTTTTCCACTGGATCGTAGGCATCCAGGAGAAACTTTCTCCCATTGACTTCCACCTCTTTCTCTCCGCCGTTGAGTTTGTGTCTCAACGGACGGCCGAGCTTTGCCTCCAACCAGCTTAGGTACTGCAGAGCTGTTTTGCTCTGTCTCTGACGGCTGTTGTAGCCGTTCTCCAGCAGGATACCAATCTGATTTGGTTTCAGGTGGGTCATTTTCAACTAAAAATGATAAAATAAAATGATCAACTGGAAAAAAATTCATATGGAGCATTGAAAAACTGCCAAATGTTGTACAATGAACCAACGGGTTCCGTACAGTGGTGTAAATTGCCAACATAGCTATTTATACTTTTACAGTCTCGGGTCGAAAACCTTCTATGCAACTTCGGTTACTTGAAATAGTCTGGTTGCGTAATTTTATCATGCTCTCATTTAGATGAATTATTTCAGGTCAATTGCGGATGGTTCAAAGTGTTCATGTTCTTCTACAATAAATTATAACTGTAAACCTGTCAAATATTTTTCTAGTTTAAATGTCTGGAATTTCCTCAAGATCTAAATTGAATTGTAAATTCAGAAATTTCTGTGTAGATCTCCAGGATTATGTGTCTGGCAGTACTGATAAAAGCAAGTTACAACCAAGCCACATTCGGGTCAGAGTCAGTCTGTTGACCAGTAGTTTGACCTGTCAGATGAAGATTGGTTACAGACAATTTTATTTTTCATAATTTTGATTTTATACTTTAAGCTCGAATACTTTGTATTTTTATATTTAAACTCGATATTTATCTTTATTTTTTCTTTTATATTTTTTCATACATATTCTGTTACTTATTATTATTCTTTCATTTTTACTTTATCTATTTTAAATTTTTGCCTATCTTAAAGGATATAATTCTTAAAAGGGAATTTTTACGAGGGAATTCTTAACAGCGAATTCTTAAGAAAGAAATCTTGATAGGGAATTCTTAAAAGAGAATCTTTACGAGGAAATCCCTCGTACCAAAAAGGTACGGTCACATGCATTCAGTTTATTAAAATGGCAGTCATTAAAATAGGTCGTAGAAGCCAGGAAAGTCTTCATATGTGAATAGAAGAATAGTTTTGAAAACTATGAATGAAGCTTAAAAAGTAGCTTAATATTTCACAAAGTTTGTAAAGTATTATGCTACTCACTTCGTAATGATTTCAATAGTGTAATTTCGAAAAAAAATGAACCTTGAACGAATTTAAAAACATAGAGCAACTTTGATTCGTATGAACATGTTCTCAGTAATAAAAATTAGAAATTTATAAAATTTTGAATGTGCTTGAACGGAATTGAGATGGAGAAGCCGTAGGTCGGCAAAATTTGTGTCAGAAAGACAGGTTCTGTAGATATAGAACTAATTACATTGGAATAAAATGTTGAATAACTCAGCTTACAATGTTAAACCGCATGGATGCTGTGTCAGTTTCGCTGAGATAACTGCACAAGGTTAGCTGAGTCAATTGAATCACTGAGATTCTTTGACTAGCGAGGAATGATTTTATGCGATGTTAAGAAGAGAATTGATAAATGCAAGATTTATTTAGCTAGTTTAACAAGTTACTCTGACGAGTAGTTCAAATGGTAGAATGATGATTAGATCACGAATGCGGCTGCTTTATATGGGGTTGACCGGCTGGTGATTTATCACAGCTGCACATGAATCAGACTAAAATTAATGATAAAAAGAGGAAGAAGAAAAAGGAAGGGAAGTGGAAGANGAAAATTAACTTATTGTTAATTCTCGAGCCAATTACTGGAAAACGCAGATTGGCCGGTGGCAACACATCACATTTAATCAGTCCTCTATAGGGACATGATGACTTGAAGCTATCAAAGACTTCTGTGATAATGTTGGGTGTGCCAACGGGGTATTCGGCAACAAATGCCGTCACATAAGGGTATAGTGAACAAAAGTCCACATACTCTAATGTGTACCCCTCACTCGCTTCGGCCAGAAGCTTAAA